AAAAAAAAAAAAAAAGATTTTCTGATCAGAAGCCCTGTTACACAAAAAATAATACCAAGAGTCAACAAATGGGATCACATCAAAGTCAAAAGCTCCTGTGCAGCAAAAGAAACTACCAACAAAGTGAGGAGACTACCTAAAGAATAGGAAAAAAAATTTCCAGCTACTCCTCAGACAAAGGACTAATATCTAGACTATTTCAAGAACTCAAAAATTAGACCCTTCAAATTTAAATCCACAATAAAAAAGGGCACCTGAAATGAATAGAATGAAATCTGAAATGAATAGATACTTCTCAGATGAAGAAGTACCAATGAATAATAAATACATGAAAAATGTTCAACACTGTTTACTATTTGTAAAATGCAAATTAAAACAACATGGTGATTTCTGTCTTACTCCAAAAAGAATGACCATCATCAGGAAATCAAATAATATCAAATGTTGGAGAGGCTGCAAAGAAAAAAGAACCCTTCTTCATTTTTGATGGGAGTGTAGATTAGTAAAACAACTATGAAAATAAATATCTAGATTCCTCAAAAAATAGAAATAGAAGTTCTATTTGACCCAGCTATTCCCCTTCCTTTCAGAATTAAAGACATCATATTACAGTGATATATGCATGACCATGTTAAAAGCAGCACAATACCTAATGGTAAATCTTGGAAGCAGCCTATACATCCATCAACAGATGAATGGATAAAGAATATGTAGTATTTATACACAATGGAATACTACTCTGCCATAAAGAAGGATAAACTTGAGTAGTCTGTAGGAAAATGGTTTTACTTTGAGACCATCATCTTAGGTGAAATAAATCAGACACTCAAACTTAAATATCACTTGTTTTCTCTTATGTGAGAAAGCTAATGTAAAATAAAATGCTAAATAAGTTATTATAATTCATTATGGCCAATGTATCTAACATTGTACCTTTATTTAGTATAATTTTTTTATGTGTTTATATGCTTTTCACCTATTAGTATGGCTATTAATCTGTGTTTGTGATAACTTGATGAAGACTTATAAATTAAATAAATAAATCTGATGCTAGCATTAAAATATGTAAGTAAAATCCTACTGCCTTTGTAAAATACATCCTATAGGTAATGATTTGAGATAGTTACTGAGTTACTCACATTCCAGTAAGATACATGCATTTCTAATATCTTACTTGTGTGTTTTTGAAAATAGATAATGAAAGACCAGGTAAAACAGGATCTTTTTAGGTCTTCCACATTCCTACATTTGAGACTAGTGTTCTGCTGGCCTATGTCATCTGGGGACAACCTAAATTCATGATCAAGCAGAATGGCTCTCCTACCTAATGGAAAAGATTGCTAAACATGAGCGTGCACGCGCGAGCGCGCACACACACACACACACACACACAAACTCTGACCTGGCCCATCTAATGGACAACATTGGCCCATTATTCTTGTGAACAGATCATGATACCCTGCTCAACTTCTTCCATTACCAAAGGAGTGGGAAACCTGCTCTGGCATTGTAGCTGTTTCCGGGTTTTCCTTGAGCCTCCTGAAAGGATACAAGCCCACTCAAGTCTTTCACAATAAATCAGAAGGAGAGAAAAAAAATCACAATTTTGTTGGGTTTTACTGAAAAAAATCACTACAAATTTCTTAAATAATTTGGTCATATTGAGGACTTGTAAGTAACTCATACACAAAGCCTGTAGAGAGTTTACATGGTTAAACAAAGTCAAAGTCTAGACATGTTTCTTTCTACATAGTAACTGCAAAATGCATATTGGCTTAGATGTGTTGCCAATCACCTTATTGCCAATGACCTCATTCTTTTGCTCCTTTCAGATGGAAATCACAAATCAACCAAGTACAGCTCTGCCAGCAGCCTTGATATCATCTGATGACAACAGATGACACAGCCAGCTGGTGGTTACTGCTGACGCCAGCCATCGCTTGTCCAATGCCATATTGTTCTGGACACTGTAGGTTGATTCTGCAAGGTATAAGGTCATGTCACTCATCCTTGTCAGCTGTTATTTTTCCTGGCTGCTGGTCTCTGGAGCTGTTCAGTGTTAATGATTCTCTTTATTCAATTTGTCCACACTACACAAGATAAAAATCCTGAGCTGATTCACAGAACTTTGAGAGCCCACAATACCTGAAAAATAAATCAAGAGCAGGTTTACAGGATCACCAAAACCTGTCTTTATTGTAACAGAATCTGTGCTGCAGCACAGGGGAGCTAATACACAGGAGAGAAGCTCTCCTAGACTAAAACTCAAGGAGTGCCTGGAAAGTGCTACTTATATAAGAGTTTGCAAGTCTCTTTCAGTGAGAGTGAGGGGTGAAACCAGGGAATCTTTTGAAAGGCTTGCTGTAAGTTCTATGTCTGGAAATAGGTGTCCAGATTTCTCCCTCCCAGATCTTAGCTACTCCCAAGTGCCCTCTCTCTTCCACAAAATGAAACAATATCAACTGCAGTGGCTGCTAGACCTGGAAGCGGCCCCACTTGGCCTGGCTGCAATCATGTTGGAGTGGAGAACAGTAGTTTGATAGCCATGTAACACACTTCTTGATAGCCAGGAAGGATACTGAAGTAAACTATCCCATTCCCCTGAGGTGCAAGGGGGAGCAAGAAGTAGGGGCAGACAGCTGGCTGCAAGTTCACACCTTCCCATAGCCAGTGCAGAGACAAATGAGAAAGACAGTCACTTCACCTGATCTGTGTGAACTAGAGAGAAAAACATGAGGTTAAGATAATTACAAGAAATAAATGAACAAATTGGCTCAAGAGGCATATTGCAGAAGGATCCAGAACACTTAGGAAGCTGTGAGGCATGAGTTACTGCTAGGACCTCTGCATGCCTCCTCCAATGACTGGGCAGGATCCATCATAGCCAAACTGAAGACACACAGACATAACTGCTTTAGATTCATCCACCAGAGTTCTCCCCTCCTCTCAACTGCATTTCTTCCTTTTTCACAAAGAGGTAAAAGAAAGGAGAACAGAAATCAATCCTAGTTTTGATTTGCAGATTGAAGAAATTAGAGATTTTCTTTGACACTCATCTTGGACACTCACGCTCCATCACTTGCTCACCTCTCTCCTTGCTAGTTAACCACATAATAGTTGTAGGAAGTAAGTTTCCTTGTTAAAGTGCAAGAAAAAAAAGAGATGAGCTTCAAAGTCAGAGAGGAAGAAGGACATGGTGATAGAGAATGAATTCTATTTAAGAGAGAGAAAAAAAAACAGTGGGCAACTTCTTTAAATCTAGTGTAAGTTGTACAAATTGCCACTTGAATCTGTATGACTTGGGCAATTCCCCCAGCCATCCTGAAAAGGGAAACTATGGCATTATGTATACTAAGCATGTGGCTTTCATTTGGGCAGTAAAAGAGGTAAAGGAAAGAGAGATTACAGAAAATTTAAGGCAGCAGTTGAGTGGATCGCCTTTGGTTTAAAGAGTTTAGGACTCCAAAATGTGTATGTTGGACAAAGGATTCCCCTCATGTGTCAACCTCAGTTCAGTTCCCTTTTACTCTGTCTCTGGATTACCTCCCACATTAGTGTGTGTGCGAGGTTTTCTCCAAACACTGCAGAGATATATTCTTATTTTTCTCACTGAAGAGCAAGTTTTTAGCTGCATCTGAACCAGGAATGGTATATTTTTATCTGAAGGGGTTTTTAGTGTGGGATTTTGAATATATCCCTTGAAATATCTTTCCATTTCTGATTAGAGAAAACAAATGTCTCATAACTTTGGTGCTTTTATATCAGAGGGCAAAAAGTTGAATGAAAAGCTTTCAGCTGAACTTACAAAATTTACTGCCTTAGTTTACCACCTAGTGGCTTACAAAAGATTGTCACTGGTCAGGCTTTGAGGAGGTTCCCTGAAGAAGAGATAGGGAACTTAGTATGGCTCACAAAGAAGGTTTTTGACTCTCATCACAGAAAAATAATTTCAGGACAAATTAGTAAGAGGTAGATTTTAATATGCAGAGTTAGAGAAGCATACACACAGAAAATAGCATCTGGACTCTCAGGAGGAGAAATAGTGGTTTGGTGTTGATATACATATATAGTCTTGGAGATATCCTTTAAGATGAATACTCTATAATATTTTGCCGAAGAACATGATTTGAATTCTTTTTAATCTGTTTTTTCATTAAGATCAGGTCACAAAAGTTTATCTTATCAACTAAATTAATGTATTAATTTATAGATTTTTATTGGATTTGGGTATGATGGCATGGAACAAAAGAAAAATCAACAAGTTTAGATAGTGTAAACACATGTGTGTAGCAGAAAAAAAAACCCCATAAAATAAAAGTGTAGATAACATTGGGTAACATTCAAAAAGTTGCAGATATCTTAAAAGTATAACTTTAAAATTAAAATTTTCCTTGTCTCTTTTACTTATGTTTAGTTTTTCTTTCCTACTTCAATTTAAGTGCATCTCAATTTTTTGTTTTCTTTTCCCTTGAAATTTACATAAGAAATAGATATACAGAAAAAAAATCTGAGTACAACAGATGTCACTTACAATTTGCTGCAAAACTGATAAAGGTTTTGAAGAAATTATTTAGGAACTCCAATGAAGTCATACTTGTAAAAAAATGAAATGCAATGATAGATTAACCACTTTTAAAGGTCTCTCAAAAGAAATTGAACAGATGGGTAAATACAGTTTGTTTGCTGTTTTTGTTCTTGACCATAAACTCCAGGGACAAAAGTACAACTCAGACACACACTTGATTTTAGGTAGAAATATGTGTTTTGAAGGAGTTTATAAACTGCTCCAGTTAGACTTAAAGAGCAACTGGTATATATATTATTACCCTTTAGTTGCAAATTTGCCAAATGTAACTCATAATTTTTGTTGATATTTTTAAATTTTGGGGGTCATGAGCAGGTTATACAGTATTTTTATTTTTAATTGAATTAGTGGACATTAAAAAACACTCAGAAATCCAGTTGCCTTATCTGTAAAACAAAAATAATATATATTCTTTTACTTTATTGCATTAAATGAGAAATGTTATATAATTTATCTGGCTAAATGCATACTACCTCAACTTTGCAGTAAACCTGCTTCTCTTATTCCCAATACAGAAAGATAACCAAAATGTAAAAGAACAACAACAACAAAAAGAACAAAGCTTTGGAATTTTAATAGAAAATAATAGTGTTCCCTTTTTTTGAAATCTTAACATATTGATCTTATGTGTCCCTAGCTAAAAGGGAGATTGTAACAGAGACTTACAGGCTACTTTTGCTAAAAGTAGTATTTCTGGAGATGTCTGATGAATAACCAAAACAAGGATAAAAGCTTGCCATTTCTGCCCTTCTGTTGCAACTGATATAGAGAAAATAATATATTCCCAACTGGCTAAATCTCAGGCCAAGTTCATGTTCCCCAAAATCTAAGAATGAATTCTAAGGAACAACGGAGGTAAAGAGTATGAAAAAAAATATTGAGAGATATAGCTCCTGAGAGACAGAAGGGGACTCAAAAGTGGGTTGCCATGAACCTCAGTTCACAGAGGGAGTTTTATTATGCAAAATCATGAGATGGGTAAAATGTGGGTCAAAACTATGATCAACCAAAAAGATTACAAGTAAAGCCATTTAAGCAGTATTGATTCAATAGGAAAGCAGGTCACAGAGCAAATGTACATGGAAAGAACAAAGACCTTTTTAGGAAGGGATGGATCAGGAGATCCTAGACACCCACCTGGGTGACTGATATTCATCTAGATTTTATTATACCAGGTGATACCAATTATAGTATAATCTTCCATTTATTGCTTATCCCTTGAAAGGCATGGAGGCCTAGTCATTACATATTTATTTTGAGCCCTGGCCTTTGACAGACACACTTTTAACCACAATTATAATGTGTTTACATCTTCTGCATTGACTCTCTCAAGGGTCTAGCCCTGTCAAAATGCCTATAATATTTCTACCTAACTTAGCCCTCTATAATACAGCCATCTATATTGCTATCTTAATCTTTGAGTGAGATTCCTATTCAACTCTGCCCATGGACATTTCATGATTTGAGGAGTGTTCATGAAAGAGTGGTGATATACACTTGATCTTAGCCAAAAGGCCGAGAAGTGATAAAGAGTGGTGATATAAAGTTGATTACCACTAGGAGAATTCCTCTTCTTCCCTTTCATGTGTCTCCTTTACTACTTAAATCTTTGGATGAGATTTCTGCTTAATTCTGCACCTAGACATGTTAATTATTTAAGGAATATGTTTCTAAAACTGATAATACAAGGTTGATTAGCCCCACATTTGCCTAGTATTCTCTCCCCAGGCTGAAAACACTAAGATCAGAATAATTGAGATATCTTCAAGATTTATGGGAACATCATAATCACTAGATTAGCAACTACTATCTTTAAAATATCCTATTCCAGATCACTAGAGCAGCACCTACAAGCCTGCAATCATTGTGATGCGATAAGATAATCATTGTTCTCACTAACTACATTTTGTTTCTCAAACTTGTTCTCTCTGAGTCATTGCTTCCCATCAGTTTATCTCAGGTTCCAAGAACAGTGAGCTTGGAGGTAGTCATCTCCCCTTGGTCTAGTAGGATCCCACAGAATCAAATCTGAGACAATGACAAACAAGATCACAATTTGATCAGAACTGTTGACTCTATCACCCCCAGTATATCCTTTCCCTATAAAATCCTACAGTCAGTACCTCAAAAACAATCTAAGGACACAGGATCTTTAAAAATTGTATTGTGAGTTGGAATCCATATCTATAAAGAAATTCCCATGAGATTTCTCTGCAGTTGCAATGAGAGTCAGGTTGGAGAGATAAGTAGCTTTCTCTGTGTTCTCCCTCCTGTTCTAGTTGACCTGAAAATATTTACAGGGTCAGGTTATGGTTAGGCTTAGATTTAAATGCCAAAAAAAGAGAGAGAGATATTAGAACGTGATATCTTTATATTTGTAAATCACATGAAAAATGGTGAGAGACTTCATGATTAAATTTTGAGTTTTACAAAATAATATTCAATAATTTGTAGAAATTTGTTTATTATTTTTACAAATATTTCTATATACTTTGTTGAAAATCAGTAGAGTTCAAATCACAAATGATATGAAACAGCTTAATATTTAGTTTTCTTCTCTAATAAGGTTGTATAACAACCTCTAAAT